GAATAGTATGGCATAAAAATATGAAAAAATGTCTTAGTAATGTATGGTATCAAGATGTCATAATATAGTAAGGCCTATAAATGTCAAAAAACATCGTAGTATAGTAAGGCCTAAAAATGACAAAAAACGTCATAGTATAGTAAGGCACAAAAACGTAAAAATATCATACTATAATAAGGCATAAGAATGTCAAAAAAACACTGTAGTATACTAAGGCATTAAAATGTCATAGTATAGTAAGGCATAAAATGTCATAAAATATCATATAATAGTAAGGTATAAAAATGTCAAAATATCATTGTATAGTAAAGCATAAAAATGTTAAAAACAACATAGTATAGTAAGGCATAAAAATGTCAAAAAAACATCATCAAAAACCTCATAAAACATTATGGTATAGTGAGGCATAAAAATGTCAAAAAAACATCATAGTATACCAAGGCATTAAGATTTCATAGTATATTAACGCAAAAAAACATCAAAAAACATCACAGTATAGTAAGGCACAAAAATGTGAAAAAACATCACAGTATAAGGCAGTGTAAGGCAAAAAAAAAATCAAAAAACTTCATGTCATAGTAGGGCATAAAATGTCATAGATAGTAAGGCATAAAAATGTCAAAAAATATCATAGTATTATAAGGTATAAAAATATCAAAAAATATTATAGTATACTAAGGCATTAAAATGTCATAGTATAATAAGGCATAAAATGTCATAAAAATGCCATATTATCGCAAGGCATAAAATTTCATAAAAATGTCATAGTATAGTAAGGCATAAAATGTCATAAAATATCATAGAATAGTAAGGCATAAAAATGTCAAAATATCATACAGTAAGGCATGAAAATTTTAAAAAACAGTATAGTATGTGTCAAAAAAAATCAAAAAAAATCATAGTATTATAAGGTATAAAAATATCAAAAAACATTATAGTATACTAAGGCATTAAAATGTCATAGTATAGTAAGCAATAAAATGTCATAAAAACGTCGTAATATACCAAGGCATTAAAATGTTGTAAAAATTTTATAGTATAGAAGAGCATAAAATGTCAAAAAAAACATCATAGTATAGTAAGGCATAAAAACGTTATAGTATAGTAAGGCATAAAAAGTCAAAGTATAGTAAGGTACAAAAATTTCATAGTATAGTAAGGTATGAACAAGTCATATTCATTGTGACATTTTCATGGGACTTTTGATGGAAATTAAACTGATACTTTGACATATCCACTATTCTTTGTTTACTCCTGCTAGCAACGTTAATGCTAGATAACATGTTTAAATAACATCAGTTGACATTTTTCTGGTGACGTTAGGCACCACTGTGTTAATCTCACATGACGTGAGCCTTCAGATAGCTCCCAATCCTTAATTCAATCAAATGATAGCATGCCTAAATTGGTTGTCTTGGAGAGGTAGCCTCTTGGAAGGCACACTGATCTAAAATGACTTCATTCCAAACATAGTGCGAACAAGTTTGCTCAAATATTGGTAGTGACAATTCTGTCCTCCCAAAAAATGTTGTAGGGACATGTCCCTACTGTCCATATGAAACCTACGTTTGTATATGATGCTATGATTTCCTTAATAATTTCTTATTAAATTTAAACATACATGTCTATCTTTTATATTTACATGTGTAACATGAACATACACTGACATGCTTTGGGATGGATATATATTTATGTAACATACTGTATGTCTATAATTCAAACAGACATATTAAAATGCATCTAGCTAGACATATATGTCAACATATGTTTTTTTCCAATTTCTAATAAGTTTCATATGTATATTTTTTATCAATATAGGCTATACTTTCAATACATATATGATTTTACTTCATATGTAAGACAGAGAAGAGGAGCATAATCGCTTGTTCTTTTTCCCTAAAGGATTTGTGAAGACTGTGTCACCACCTAAGTTGCCTTTGATTTATAATTAATTATAGATACAAGATTGTGACAACTTTTGCAAACTTTATTTTCTCCAGCATCACAACTTTCCTCGCAATTATAAAGAAAAGCTGCCGCAAAATCATACATTTTAGCCTGCAACAATCCCAAAAAAAGCCTGTGAAATCCTGGAGGGACTGTAGATGAGTAAATTAATTAATCTTTCCCCAACAGAATGTTTAACATCCCAATTTTGGTATCCCAGGACCGCCCTCCACCTCATCCTCTCACATTATCTTCCAAACTTACTATGGCTTGTATTATTAAAAGTTTGTAGTGGCAACAATTATCTGGGGATGAAAATGAATTTTATACATGGCAAAAGAATAGTTTTCTTTGAAGTGTGAAAATTTAGACATAATAATTATGTATTTAAATGTAGGTCAGATGTAGGCTGCAAAACCAAAGGATGCGATTAATCCTATAATTACAACTCCTCCAAAATATTGTATTTCACCCAGACTTGTGCATGGATGGTATGTTTATTTCTTCACCCCACTGACATGGCTGCTACCTTATTCATATCGAGTGACGCTTCTTCTCAAGCAATTGATTTGAGTGACTTAATAAATATAAATATGGGCACATACATCCTTATGGAATGGTTGACTTAAAGGTATAGTATGTATGTAGGTCTTTTTGTCCTTCAGAGTTGTGAAAAGTACATACATACATGATTATTCAATTAAAAATTATATTAAAAATGTCAGATTAAAAATCAGTTTTCATGAGCAAGAATCTGCAGCTGAGATCCTCCACTATTGCACTACCTCTAATGCCCAGCAGGGGGAAGACAGCCAGACCTGCCCTGCTTCTCTTATGAGGAGCCACACATTGTTGATTAAAGATTAGAACATGTGCTGTATGTTTTATGTAAATGTAAATGAATAAAATGAAGAATAGATGATATCGGTGGTATTGTATGATTAACTTAGGCAAGTGAAAAACACTTGAACACAGTTAAATTCACAAGATATCACAAGATACACCACTCTACATTTGTAGACTTTTATTCTCTATCAGCCATAGACACTGCAGCCGTTTTGTTTTTGTCTTTTTGAATTTTGATACAGTAATACATGCCCTTATAGATATTTATATATGCATTGTATATGTATATAACTGTCATCATCAAAGAAAAGGGATGCTGATTCTTCAAATTAAAAGCATATCTGTCACAGTGAACTTCCACTAGTTTGCATTTTACATTTTTCTAAATCCACAAAGTAAACAGTGATAGTGAAATAAATACATTACATGTTGTAGATACATACAGTAGCGATACTCAGAGCTGTGAATAATGATATATCTAAGCTCTCAACCTGCCTCATTACATGTGTCTCTGGTGTATCATTATCTTGTATTTATCATATGTCTGAGACTATCCCTGTGGCTAAGATATACTTTACATCATATCCTGTGCACAAAAAGCAAGGAGGTGTTCCCTCCTGACATTCAGGAGTGCAAATGCAATGTGTGTAAAATAAACTTTTTTCATTCACTCACAAACACCCACCACAAAACTGTCAGCGTCTGGTCCAACAGTTTCTCATTCAAAAAATAAACTAATAAAGTCTAAAACTAAATAAAGCATAAACACTTGATCACCTTATCACATATGTAATATCAAGTATAACAAGTGTCTCTAAAACAGCTTTCTCGATCTTATTCACCAATGACAAATTTTTGTTACTTTCAAATAAAAAGAAGCTTCTCATTGGCTCCCAAACTAAAGGTTAAATAAGTTCTCTAGATAACCTAGTAAGCTAAACTCAGACTCAAAAAAATAAACTCTGAAATAACATATCTTCAAACATCAGCATTTAAACTCAGCCAAAATGCCCTTCTCAAACCAGTTGTCAATGCAGTATTTTACTCAACACATGCATGGACAAACTTAAAAACAAACATAAAGGAGCTACAGTACAACCTCACTCACACATTCACCAACCATACAATACGAGTCAAGGTCAACAATTCAAGAGGAAAAGCCAAAAAACAAAAAACAAAAAACCCCCATAACAATTAGAATTAAACATAAGAACACAGAAAGAAAGACACACATAGAAGGAGAAGAGAGGCAGAAGGGCAATCCATATAACTACAAAGCAGTCAAAGCTAGGATCATAATGACAGATGTTGATTAGTCATGCCTGCTCTACTTCACATGGGTGATTATTAATTCCTAGGCTACAGATGTTCAGTAATGTCTAGATTATAGATAATATATAATTCCCAAAGACAGAGTACACATAGCCTACACAAAACACAGCAGCAGCAGTTAAAGTCAGTGTTGATACAGTCTTGTTTTCTCTGCGTGACATCTTGACCACCTGACTCAAAAGAGCGGAGAGGCTAGTACAGTGAGTAAGACAGTTTTTCAGTTAGCAATATCTGAGAAACTCTGGTTGTGAGAGGCAGTGCAGTGTGATATATTGTCTTTCAGTCCAAGCACCTACTCAGAGAGTAGAGCCAGTATTTTGTAGGTAAAGTGTTCTTTACCATCAAGAGGTTTGTGAGAGTTGATGTGAATAGTTTCCCACTGTTTTCTTTGTTTTGTGTTTTTTTTTTCTTTGCTCTACCACAGAATCAGGACATAAATATCACAGACAATTCTGACATGGAAAGTAAAATGAATCAGGAAAACAACAGAAGGCTTTCTTTGGTCACAAAAAAGGCAAAACAACATCAGAACATGAAAAGAAAATCATGAATACATTACACCAGCCAGGGAAGAAAACTCCAAATTGTGAACAATATGTCATCCACCACGACTTAAATGGGAAGACTGTGGTAGCTTTGAGGTGCTGTGGTGCACACTAGGATTGCAAGTTGGCTAATGCATAGGATTAGGGGGGACTTTAGCATGGACAGAGCCAGGGAGTCGGGGTAGGGGGGAGTGTTACACATTCTTCTACTCTTCCTCCTCCTCCTCTTCATCATCATCATTGTCCTCCTTGTCTTCTTCGTAGAAACGGTGAAAGAGCTGGTGGAGATGCTGCTGGAGATCATGTGGTTTTGACCCTTTTCTGGGACTGTCCACTCGCTCTAGAAGAACCTGTTTGCGCTTCCCAGCTCCCTTGGCCACTGTTCGTCTGAGGGTGCGACCTTTACGCATGTGAGCCCTGGAGATGGAGCAGAGAGGGAGAGGAAATGAACAGAGGAAGACAGGTCAGCGTCCTCACAAACATGCACTTGTGGTTCTGTGGAAATTAAATTGAAGAAACAGATGTTACTATAGTTGTAAGATATCCTATGAAAGAGAAACAAACAAATTATATTATCCTTTGTTAATCCAACATGCAGTTATGATTTTGTGCACAGAAACTTCATAATCAATTTTAGCTGCAGAAACCTAAAGATTATCTTGACCAAATTTATATAGCAACTACCCCAAGAACTGGGTGACAATTTTAAGAAAAATCCAACATAAAGTGTCTTTCTTAAATGTTGCAACACCATGAACCGCCAAATTTTCCATGCCAAATGTTCCATGCCAAATTTTCCATGCCTGTGGACAATTACTGGAGGGATGAACATCATTCTTCCGAAATATATTCCCTCATTTTGTGTTTTGATGATGGTAGAGAACGCTCTCAAACATATTACTCTATAAGTGTTCGATTGTGATGAGATCTGATGAGTATGGAGGCCACAGCGTATGATTTACATCATTTTCATGGACCTGTGCCCTACATTGGAAGAATCTGCATTTATGTTTCTCCACTTATTTATTCAAGGTTTTCTTTTGATTTGTGTACACCTGTTTGTTACTGTAAGCATTTCTAAACCTTGTGATAGCAAAGTACCACCACTGAGGCAGAACTTATTGAACACACTATCTTTCTGTTGCTGTGCCTCTTGTTTAGCTTCCTAATTATGGGAAATGCTTACAGCTGTCTGGTATCTACAGTGTGTTTGCTTTTGCTTGTCCTCTCTGGAGAGGCTTCAGGAGTCACAGTACATAACAATACCAAGTAAAAGATAAATAATGATAGAAATTATACAATATAACACCAAGATGCAAAACTGTTCCACTACATAGTGTGATAATAATAATTCTACCTGCATGCAAGGGACAACAATGGGTCTGTTTTATTCTTCACACTTAAACATAGTATAGCAGATGCTATAAGATGCTAGATGTTAAGTTACAAACACATATCTCATTGTGTTTTAATCTTTTTTTTGATTGATTGATGAAGGATGAAAAAAAATCTCAAAGTGTGCTACCTGCCTAATTGGTTAATGTTAGCAACTGAAAAATTAGTCAACATTAGTAAAACTAATAAAACCAGAGTAAAGCTGTCACTGTAAAAAGTTCACACTCACGACTCAATACAAGCAGTAACACACAGACACAATCAAACAGGTGCACTCCAGCACTCACACACCTCCTGACCACAGTTCCATCTTCTTTGACAGTCTCTCTCTCTACCACATGAGGGAGCTCTGCTCTTCTAAAACCACTTATATAACCTAGTGCCTGGTGGCAAGAGAAAACAGTCTTCACTTAATTGAGAATGATTTAGTAATGAATTGCACCTGTGGTGATTTTCTACAAAAACACTGTAGTCGAGCTACAGCTAATAAAGTCCCCATTACATACAGTGCATCAGGTAGGCATCAGGTGTACAATCTGCTTAGTCTGAGATATGGAATAATGGTGACAAGAATTGTTAACAAACCTGTTTGAAGTCGTCTTGGGCTGAGGGGAGGTCAGAGGCCAAAGATGGATCACCGTGGTGTGTCATTGTCCTTTCTCCCTCCACCACTGTTGTCCTCTCTACACGACTGACCTGACAGCCCTCACCTGTCTCCTGCCTTGATGCTGAGAAACCCTCAGATTCAGTAAATGTTACCTAGGTCAGAAGAAAAAGTTATTTGTTATTTAGGAGTCACTTATATACTACAACCAATATGAATGTTGGTTTGTCTAATATGTTCTGATAAAAAAGAGATTTGGAAGACGATGATAATGAAGACACATAATATACAGAACACACACCTCTGTATGGTCTCCCTCACTTTTCACTACAGTCCGCTTCACAACCTTGGAGTATCCATCTCCCTCTGCCATACTGATGGACCCCTGGGGAGCTCCTTCTAATGACACCTCTTCGCGCTCCACACCATCGGCGGAAACACACTTGCGAATAATTTTACGGGTAACCTGAGGGACATCATGTGTTCAAAGACAGTTAGGTGGTGAGACTTTCATTTAAGGTTATTGTCTACATGCATTTTATTGCAAAAACTCCAGAACCCAGTGTTGTCTGTGTCTGAATGAAATTGAGCAACAATGCAACAGAGCCTTTGGTTTTCTGCAAAATCACAAAATTGCTTTGTCAAGCTTTACTGGCTGTTGTCACTACCAGTTTAAAAAGTGCCATGTGTTATGTGCATGAAAGCTAATGTAGAATCATGCTTTACCCTTTTGACGACAATGTGTCCATTTTCATCCTTGTACTTTTCTTCTGTCACTGACTGAGTGGGGAGATCAGGCATTTCATCAGCCTGTAAGGCAAACAAGACAAACAAAAATCAGGAATGGTAACTTGGGTCAGTGTAATGTTTATGTGTTTAATTCTCCACTTTGAAAATAAAGTGCCAACACATGTTAGAGAAAAACAGGACCCAAAATTTGCATATTAGGTTGTAATTCAGTGAGAGAATAATAGGAACTTTGGGATACAGGAAACAAACTTGCATTCTCAGGGAAAAACGTTTATGTTGTCAAATAAATCAACAAAGAAATGCTCACAGCAGCATAAAACACCAACATGGGGTCCAGCCATCTATGCAAATCAGGTGGTAGATTTCTCTTAAACCCTAAATCTTCATATACACATTTTATTTTTCACCCATTTTAATGAGACTAAAGGTTGTTAGACAGTAAAATATTTTAACTTCACAGTGAAGACTTAGCCCGGTTAAAGTTGCACTCTGGAAGCCAAGCCCTTCATGCTCATTTAAAACACCCTCAGTCATGCTAAACCAGATACCTGAATGACAACTCTCCTTCGCACTATTCTGGTGGTCAAAAATTCATCATCTGAACTTTCTGACATTGATCCCAGCTCTGCGGTGATCTCCTGACCAAGCAACAGAAATCCATTGAGATTTAATGAATGACAATATATGAATGCTATGTTTACAGCAAAGTAAGCAATAAGCAGAGTGTCATGATGCACTTTCCATTGATTTTTGAGAAGTTTACAATTAGTGTTCATGTCTTACATTGGAAAGAACAACGTGGCAGTCTGAAGTTTGGAAAGAATATTTGCAAAACACACCATGCTTTTACTTAATTAAAGAACTAGGGTGCTTATTGCTGATGAAAAAACATAGCTTCTGCTATTACTGTAGGTGATACAGCTGGTTACAGGCAGCAAAGTGACATGCTGAGTTAGGACTGGTTAAATCTGAAATGAAAAAGGGGGGTTATAAGGAGTTTTAGATCCCATCCACGTGGCCAGAGGGTTAGCAGTCATTCCTCTCTTAAGCAAATATTGTATTTGGTTAAGCTCAGCTCCGGGGAAAGCTTGCAGGTTGGAATGGTTTACCAAATCTCATCTTACCCTTGTCAGAGAATAATCAGTATCATCATGTGCCTCGATTTCACAGACAGGAGGCAGTTGTGAAGCCTCACACAAGGTGAATTCTTCATCGGATGCTTCAGAATAGTGTAATAATTCTTCACTCTCTTCATGTACAATATGAAGGGGCTCATGGACAAAAGGAGCATCCTCATAATCTTCACTTCCAGATGACAACAGCACTCCTCGATTCACCTTTTCTGGCACTCTAGAATGGCTGGGATAATCCTGGGGCTGACCTCCACTTGACCTAGATCTTGACCCAGGTTCATCAGGCTCAGTCTCTGAGAAATCTGACGAAGCTTGTCTGCAGTCAAAGTAAGGCTCTGGGTCAGAGTATTCAAAGGTAGGGCTGTCTTCACCATTATGCACAACCTCTGCATAGCCTGGAGGCATGTGGGTATAGATGCTTGTGGTAGAAGAGGTCTCTGCATACCCAGGTGGGATGCTGTACTCTTCATCAGAGGTTGATGAAGTCATCTCTGCTTTAGGTTTAACTGAAGGAGGCTGAAAATACTCAAAGTCTACTGGAGTCAGAGAATCTTCTGAATAATGTCCACTGGTCCTTGGCCTATCCTCATCTGAAGATGTCTCAAAGTTCCCTGAGGAGGGGTATGGGATCAGCTCCTCAAAGCTAAAACATCTCGCAGATGTAACTGTCTCAGGAGTTAAATCAGAAATAGACTGAGAAGAAAGATCTTCAGTCTGAATGTCATCAACAGAGGTCACCTCCCATAAATGTGGCAGTTGATCTTGGATACTCTGTGTTTTCAAACTCCTTGTGTCATTGGATGTTGAAGTTGATTCACATTCCTCTTGACTTTGAAGAGTTTCAATTGTAGAATCTTCCTCAAATGGATTAGCCAGATTAGTTTCAGGTATGTCAGATTGACTCTTTGCAGCTATTTTGGGGGAAGACACTGAAGAAAATGTCTCAGTAGCATTTTCACAATTTTTGTTCAGTGATGGTTCCATCACTTTACAACATCTCTGGGGAGATTCTGGCATTGAAGGGGACTCAGTAGGGGACACAGGACTATCGTTACGTTTACCAAGGCCTAATGGTACACTTGTTTCAGGGGTTTTTGTTGGAGCGGGAGTAACTGAGACTAATTCACTTTCATCTTGAATGGATGCCTGGAAATGTTCAGGCTCTGTGTCTCCTGTATTTGTGTTGTTAGTGTCATCTGCAAGCTGTATAACAGAAAACACACTGATTCTTACAGTGCCACTAGCTTCTGTAGGGCATCGATCTTCAGGTGAAAGGTCTTCAAACATGTAAATTTGATCAACTTCCAGGCTTTCATCACTGGATTCTGACAGACGTGCATCAAGTGTCTCTGGTCTAAACTTAAGTTTCATTTCCTCCAGATCTGAAAGCAGCTGATCAAGCTGAGGGGACCCAGACCCTGGTGGTGGTGGAGTGGATTCGGAGGACATGATGATTTTATCATCTGGACTTTCTTGGGCTGTTTGACAGAGTGAGTCTGGGGTCACTGAGCTTGGTTTAGCTAAGCCAGAAGTTTCACTTTGTTTGGAGAATGACAGGTTTTCATGTTTTTCCTGTGGTGAGCTACTTTGATTGGTCAATGGGATTTCAGACTGTGTTCTACTTAGGTCAAAGGTACCTGGAATTGGCCAATCTAGTTTTTCAATGAAAAGTGTGTTTGAATCATTTGCCAAGGGTGGCATCCCGGTTGGACAGACCTGACTCAGTCCTAAACCAACATTTTGATCTGAAGATTCTGAAAGATTTGTCTTGAAAGATGTAGTTGCTACCTGCAAGAAATGATACAGTGAAGTGGGAAAAAAATTATTAACAAATATGATTTGTGATTTCTTTTGATGATGAAAGGTCAAATGAGTCAAATGATGCATGCATTTGTCAAGGGCACGTTCTGGTTGTATACATAGAAGCAGCGTCTCAAATGAGGAAATTCATTTGCAGCGTCCTTGCATTTAGGCCATTTGCAGTGGTATTTATACATGTTAATAACATCTACCAAATGCAAATGCAATTTAAAATGCATTACATAACTGAAATGACTGATTAAGATATTAATCAGAAATATTATTAATAATGGCATATTTGGAGATATTGCATTGAGAACATCAGTGACAACACAATATCATTAAAGCAGGGCACAAATGAAGTTGAGTCAAAATCAGGATTTTGTGCAACATGACGGTGGACATGCGTCATTTTACACTAATTTCAAGTAAATGGTTGCTGCACTGTTATAGTGTAGGAGTGGGAAACATTGCACATCCCATAAAAAATGTTAAACACACTAGTTTACAGTATTTGTCACAGTCAAACACTATTACTGTCTGTTCTGCTGCAGGTCTGCCCCATCCCCCCAAAGGTAAATAAATCTGTTATTACAATAGAAACCACAGCCGAAAGACACAATTCATCAATAACATTATTCAGCATTTATAAAAGTATATTGCAATATTTTTTGTAAAAACAAAACAACAAAAAACCCTACACCATTTAAATAACACAATCAGCACAACCAATCAGTGGTGTTATACCCCTGACCAGAGATTTGAGATGACAGAATGGGAGAAGGGCGATAGTGGGAAGCACCATCTAGCTATAGACAAGTGATAATGTCTGAAATGAATTCTAAATTGCACTACTTTGAATATGGATGTCAATAGGGCACACTCATGTTAGGAAACATGAGAGGCAACAATGGAGTTGTATGTCTCTGTGATCTGTTTCTAGGCTTGTTATGAAAACAGCGGGAGCCTGTGCCTTACAAACAGGAAGGCAAACATAACAGGTATTACATGCCTCTAGCTGTGGCAAGCAAATCACTTGGTTTAAACTTTTATGGCTGTTAAGCAAAGATCTAAATAGCACTATACAGCTTTGTGCAAATAGATGTCAATGTCAAATGTTCCATACCAGGGAAAGAAGTTCATGTCACTAAGAATGGGTCACTCTTTAATGTCCATTAGTTGTGTCTCACTGAAAAATCATTCCTTCTACTCTTACGAAAACATGCCACAGCAAGACAGTGAAGCCCTTGTGGAAAAGCTTTAGGCAAGAGTTCTACATTCACATTTTTAGTATTGCCATATTCATTGCTTTCAAAAGCAACACTGCAATCACTGCTGAGCAAGAGTTTGTGCTGTCTTACCGACATCATGGAACTTTTGCTCTCGTCCTCACTCATGGATTTTCTTTTCATGTTCTTGGAAATCAAATCTTGGGGGTGTGTCACCTTTAATTGTGATTCAGGGTCTGTCCATTTATGTTCATGTACAAGTTGTCTTCGTTTCACTGATTCTCTCTTTGTTCGAGTGTGTTCGTGGGAAACCTCCTCCAGCCAGACAGCATGATGAAATCCAAAATTTTGCACTACAGATGGAATGTGACTCAACTCACTGCAAAACTTTCTAATTCTACGTGATCTGACCTGATCTAGTCTAGGTCCTTTGTTGTCCTGGGAGGAGGCCTGACAAAAAAAGACTGGTCATTTGTATTTGAGGAAGGTGCCATGGGTCCTGTCTCACCTTCTCTAGTTGGTGGCATCAGCATTTCAGGATATGAATCTGTTACAGTAAGATTAAGTACTGCAGAGTGGGATAGAGGGGGATTGTGTGATGGTTTGGAGTCTGCTTTCATGCTTTCAAAATGACAAAATTTGGCTGGGCTATGTGGGTCTTCCATGCTTACTGCTGAATCTTCAAATCTAATTCCACAAGCCTTCACAGACCTTTTACTAGCTACATCTTCAAAGTAATTAACCTTATCACAGAAATATTTTTGTTCATAGACAGGATCAAGTGTGTCTGTCATTAAGCTCTCAGAAACTAGTTTATGTCTGTTGTCTTCAGTAACAGTGTCATCTGGGACATTTTGCCCACATGGCAGCTGGTTTAAAACTTCGTCTAAACCTCCTG